TGGGAATTGCTTCCATGGCCTAATATCCGCAACATCAGCCCTACCGCCACAAGAGTTATTGGGCACCTACCTTGCATTCTTCCTTCTCTTGGTTACATTTCTCAAATTTTAGAACACAAAAGGTTAAGGATAAATAGCTTTACCTTGCTATTTAAGTATATGAGACAACTAACCGTTCATACATGCATGGTTTTCCATCGCCTGCAAATGGCACCTTTTTTAGAGAAAAGGCCAAGGCCCGACTTTATAGATAAAGCCACCAGGCAGCGTCACGGATACCACAGGTTCACAGGAAATCATAACCACACAGAGGAGTTAAAGAGAAACCTAAGCAAGCATCATACAGGCAACTGCCATACACAGCGCGCAGGCCGGGGAGGAGAAAGACCAAATGTCCGCAAACGACAGCACCAAATTATACGGCAGGGTTCGTCCCGGATATCTGAGAAGTCGAAGCCCGAATTTTGTTGATGAGCAGGTCCAGGGCATCCCGATCAGGCTCCTTAGTCAATGATCTCCACCGCCATAGTAACACCCTAAAAGCATGTCACTCTCAAATCTGCCATAAAGGGACGAAACATATGTAGATCAAGAAACAAAAGCATAATTAAGCACTCTGCAGTATTTTAAAAACAGAACATGATTTCACTTTCTTCTTTCCTTTTGATTAATTAGCCAACTAGCCTTCATAATTTTGATGCTCCATTATATTTTAGTTATAAAGATACAAGAATTTGCTAACTCTGTAAGGCAACTAAATAGTAATCACTAAATTGTAATGGCGTTAGCTGTTCTTGGATGAATAAAATCCATACTTCATTGTTTCCAAAAGATGAAGCGGGTAATATCCTTAAATTGGATTTATCAAAAAAAATATCCTTAAATTGGAAATGTTAAAACAACGGTTCTTAATGGAAAATATTTGGGGTGCTAATAAAAAACAATAGATAGCCACAAGCAGCATAGGAGAAAACTAAACATTGAAACAAAGACCAGGTCTCTTCTAGTTTCAGATGAACTAATAAAACATGCATGGTATAAAGCGAGCCATGCACAACCATCAGGCAGTTACATTTTGCAATGAAACATCAGTTTTGTCCTCAGCTAGAAACTGCACAAGCTGCACGCGGCCTGCTAGCAAATTAATTAAAAAATGTACAAGGGTAACTTACTTTTAATTTATGTTAGCTTACAAATAAATAGGCTTATCTATGAATCTCATACAAGCTAAGTTCCACAACAATTTCTCCAGCTCTATATTATGTGCCACCTCAGCAGCTTGGATATCAAATGTGAAGAAAAAGGAAGCATCAGACAGTTGAAAAAAAAAACACCTCTGCATCTTCAGAACAAAAAAGTAGTATGGTTGTCTTACATGCGACATTCATCAGTAAAGGAGGAACTGTGATCCACTTCAACAGATCAAATTGGACCTCTGCTCAGCACCGCAGCGGCAATGATTTGCCCTCCAAAAAAAATTCAGAAAATATAGTAATTGTATTAACAACAATTAGCTTCTTTACATGCTGAGCAACACCTGCACACATTGGGGAGAGCTTTCTTAGTCGGGATCTCGAGTTCGTTAGGGTGCCGTGGCGAGCTCTTGGCCGGAGATATAAGGTACCTCCACATCCTATTAGTATTAGGTCAGAAAATTAATCAAACAATTGTCTGCTCTAAGGAGCTTGCCCAAAACAGAACTGTGTATCTCTAAGATGGCAAGTGAAAAAAAGATACTATATGTTCAATGCTGTGCAGATATTGCACATTCCAATCAAAGTGAAAAATGCAACAGGCTATGAACAAAATAATTCACGATTTGTAACACCAAGTGATCAGAGGCAACCAATTGCCAGAAGATTATTACTTTCAAGTAGAAAAGAGAGCACATAACAATGATTAGAGTGAGACTTCAGAGTTTAAATAGACTATCCAATTTGGGATTTGGGCAAAACAAATACAATTACTGGACATCACGCCCATCCATAGAGGCGGCGTTGAAGAGATTTGTATTGAACTCACTAACACGTAGTGGAGCAAGCAGCCGAGGCCGCCGGCCGGAGGATAGCACGAAGCGGACGTGGTCAAACCAGGGCCGCCGTGAGCACTACTCATAGTGCCGCCGCCGACACCACTTGAACTGTCGCCGCAGCCAGCCGACCACCGCAAGCCACGCTTCCAAACATCGAGGCCACGCCGCGCTCACCTCGCCGCCGTGGCCACCGAGCACCAGGCCGTCGCTCCCCACGACGCCCAGCCTATCCGCCGACCACCACGCCATCATTCCCAGTGGCCGCTCACAAAGTCGTCGACCACCACACCACGAGCAAGCTAACGCGAGCGAGTCGCCGCCGAAAACCGCAGGGATTAGAATTGGAACGGAGGAGGCGGAGTGGGCTAGCCCCACGAACAGAAAACAGTTTTTGCCAACGTAAGAAAAGGAAAAACTTACCTCGTCACATAGAAAATTTACCTCGCTTGGTACAGCGCGTGGGTGGGATCGATCAAACCGAGAGAAAGGTTGGCTCGGTCGATCGACCAGGGTGAAGAATTTCTTATTCTTCACCCTAGGTTACTAATAGACTTTCTATATATATATATGTATATACATATATATATATATATATGTGTATAGGCTTGCTAAACTATGCCTGCGCGCATTTTGTCTTATCCTATGCTCCAGCCACGTCAACCGAGCCGACCAGTACGCGCTAATTAGGCCGGAGCGCTAACCAGGCCGAAGGGCGCGGGCGATGTGGAAAAAGGTTGATCGTAACCCTTACAACCAAAACTGCTGGTGTCGCTTTGCCGGCCTCCTCCTAGAAAAAAATAGTAACGGGTTACCATCGCCCTCGTGTCGCTTTGCCAGCCTCCTCCCATAAAAAAATAATAGTAACATGTTATCATCGCCATGCTTTAGTTAACAGAGTCATCCCTCGCACGCCTACACCATCGTACCATCATAAAAAAACGTAGGTCCATTACTATCTACACATAATATATTACTAGCTGCCGGTAAAATACCTAGGTTCATTACTATCTACACTTAATCTATTACTATCTACACTTAATCTATTATTGGCAAAGTGTAGGAATGAAATCATGATGTCTTAGAGCCGGTAAAAAACATAGGTCCGTTATCATCTATACTTACTATATTACTGGCAATGAGTACTGACACAAGATCATCACGTAGTGGAGCAACACATGGTAATATAAATAAATGTGTTACTTTATTTTGTGCATGCCGTTACGCTCAAAATCTTTCTTCTCAGCGACTCGCCCGTGATTAGGAGCAGGGGCGGCGGTAACAGAAATAAAGCGTGTTACTTTATTTTGCACATGCCGTTACCCTCAAAATCTAGCCTTCTCAGTGACCCATGCAACCTGCACACCCGTGCGTGATTAGGAGCAGTAGCCGGCGCGTAGATTAACTAAAAATGCGCGCACGCTCACAATAGCGCAGCCGTATATGTGTATATATATATATATGTATATATATATATATATATATATATATATATATATATATGTACGTACGGATTTTTGTTCGTAACAAATGGCCATTCTCCGCCCATGCAATGAGTACATGCATCATCTTTTCTCGAACATCTACAGACTTTTTATCGTCATAAAACATACATTTGTAAAAGGTCAACATTTAAAAGTCTATAGAGCACTAGAAATCGTCATATAACACTTTTCTAATACATGGTCAACATTTTTCTATACACATTTATTACTTCAAATGCTTGAATAATATTTTTCAAATATAAGATTAATTTTTTTAAATACATGGTCTACATTTTATTCTATACATATTTAACATTTTTCAAATCATGATCAAAATTTTTAAATATTACGTAAATTATATTTTTGTAATATATATGTTTAGAATATTTTAAAAAAATTAAATAAAAGTACAAAAAGAATTAAAAATTAAAAAAACCCTAAAAAACAAAAACAAAAACGAGGCATTGGCCTCTTACACACTAGCTGGAAGCTCGCGTCAGGCAAGATATAAATGTGCCCCGAAACGGCCCAATAGGCTAAATTCTACAAGGGCCGGTAGGCTAAATGGGCCGCCTTGTCAGGCGTATAGTGCCTGGCCCACGGAAGGTGGGAGCAACTAGTTAACCAACGCTCCTTCGGGAGCCTCCCAACTATCACTTGCGGGTGGCCTGGGAGCGCGTCACTTGACACGCTCTCAGCCGCCGCTACGTGTCGCGCTCTGGACGCTCCCTCCGAATTTATTTATTTTTCATGCGTTTTTGGCCTTTTAAATGGTTTTTTCGGGTGTTTTTCGGTTTTTTGGTTTTCTACCGGCCTTCCTTAGCTATTGGATGACAAAAGAAGTTTTTGAAAAAGATGCGTGAAAATACGTGTTTGTTGTTGATTCCACGAGAGGCACGATTTTGTTTTGCGAGAAGCACGGCCGTGCCTCTCAGAAACGAAAAAACATGTTTTTCTGTTTTTTTTTTTGGCGAGAGGCACGGTTTTGCTCCCGCAAGAGGCACAGTTGTATTTTCGTGAGAGGCATGGTCGTGCCTCTTAGAAAGAAAAATAAATATTTTTTATTTTTTTCTTTTTGCAAGAGGCACGGCCGTTGCAAGAACTACTCAATTAATGACTACGACGAAAGGTAGCACGCGTGCCAGCCCGTGTACCTAGCGTGCCGTGCCGGTCCAGCCCATTTAGCCAGGTTTTCCAATGGAAAGAAAGAAGCGGGCCAATCCCTACAAAGAAGGTACCGACCCATTGCAAAGCGTCAATCTCCCCCTCCTCTCAGCCCCAACCATACCCCGGCGCCGCCGCTACCTGCTGCTACGCTGAAGGATCAAGAACTCATCGCCATTGCCGCCGGTCTTCGTGTAAGTTTCCTCCCCCAACATCCAACCAGATCGGAAATTTCTTGGAAGCACTCCTCGTAATGCGTTGATCCCAACTCTTGACTTTGTTTTTTCTGCGGCCATGTCCGTGCAGGCTGCCCGTTCGACGGAATGCCCCCGAAGGCATCCAAGCGGTGGGTGCCGGTTAACCGGCCGGCCTTGGCGTCTCCTGCTGCGGGTAACCCGTCCAACGGAGTGCCCCCGAAGATATCCAAGCGGTGGGTGCCGGTTAACCGGCCGGCCATGACGTCTCCTGCTGCAGGCAACCCGTCCGACGGAATGCCGCCGAAGGTGGTGCTGGTGAACCGGCCCATGGGGACGGGGACGGGGACGTCTCACGGGGCAGGCAAACCGTCGAGCGAAATCCCCTGGAAGGCATCCAAGCGATGGGTGCCGGTTAACCGGTCGGCCGTGCCGTCTCCTGCTGCAGGCAAGCTGTCCGATGGAATGCTTCCAAAGGTAGTGCCAGTGAACCGACCCATGGGGACGGGGAAGCCTCGCGGGGCAGGCAAACCATCGAACCAAATCCCCCGGAAGGTATCCAAGCAATGGGTACCGGTTAACCGACCGCCAACTGTGGGGACACCTCGCTTGGCAGGCGACCCCGCCGACAGGCTCAGCGACCTCCCGGACGCGCTGCTGCACCACATCATGTCGTTCCTGAAGGCGTGGGAGATGGTCCGCACGTGCAGGCTCTCGCGGAGGTGGCGCAACCTCTGGGCCTCTGCGCCTTGCATCGACGTCCGCGTGGGACTCCATGATAACCCACCTGAGGAGTTCGCCAAGTTTGTTAACCGGTTGCTGCGCAGCCGGGACGCGCTCACGCCAGTGGACACGCTCCGTGTGCGCTCGATTGGTGAGGATGATTTCTATGAGACTTATAACGATGGCAATGTCAAGAGCTGGATCCGTACTGCTATCAAGAGAAAAGCTCGTGCCATTCAGCTTAATGGGCATCTCCACAAGTACATTACGCTGGATCGCATAGACTTCGCCTCTTGCCATCTCAAAATCTTGAAACTGTCATATGTCGAGCTAGATGATAAAGTTGTGAAGCAGCTCTCTTCTCGGTGCCCTTTGGAAGAACTAGAGCTCAAGAGCTGTGTGGTAGGTGCCCATGAAATTTTGTCCTTCTCTCTGAAGAGTTTGACCATGGTCAAGTGCAAGCTTACTATGAACCTCTCGGTGGATGCCCCAAACCTCATGTTCTTTCGTTGCATCAAACCTGAGAAGTGGGTTCCTGTATTCAAGAACTCTGTGTCTCTTATCAGAGGCAGTATCATGCTTGATGACTCTTTATTAAGTCGTGAGTTTCAAAAGTACCATGAGGATGAGGATGAATTCCCTCAGACTAGCGATGAAGATGACGACATTGATAATGGAAATGGCCAGTGCAATGGTAAAAGTCCTGCTGCTGCTGAGGGCTTTCTGGATAGTATCTTGTATGGCAGCTTTTCTGATTATTGTGATGGCTATTCTGATGATTTTTATGATGGCTATTCCGATGACATCAAAGATGATTATGATTATGGAAGTGATATCAACAGCGACGATGATATATACGAATATAGTGAAATTGCAAATGGCACTGAGGATAAATATTTTGCAAATGTCTCTGAATTCAGTAAGGGTGGTAAAAATTCTGGCTACAGTGGAAACTATGGGTTTAACGACTATAAAACTTTAGGTGGCCAAAATATTCTTTGCAGCCTTTTAAATGCCAGAAGCATAGAGCTGCTAGGTCATTCAGGAGAGGTACAATTATTAACTTCTTCACTGATGCATTTCAATTCAGTCTACACCTTATACTTTAACTACTGTGTAGGAAGTAATAGTGTGCATGGTCCTTATATCAGTATATCACAATACTTGCATGCAAAACAAATTTGTCAGTTTTCTGCCGTGCACTTTTTCTAATTAAGTCCAGTTAAAAATCGGGAAATTGATGCAGTTTACTGATGTTGAATTGTTGTTGAATGAATGTGCTGCTGTAGCCTGTAGGTGCTTTGCTGTCATACGGATGCACTTTTCTTTCTTTTACTTCCAGATTAGATATGCTGTATGTACAACGTTTTTCAAATCTTTCACTAGGCCTACCAGCTTTGTTATTTATGGATAAGAGCGATCTGTCTTAGAAAATAATTGTTAATCATGCAGCACTTGGTATACATTCATGTTCTTTAATCTGTTCATTGAACTAATGATCTTTTCTGTGCTGTAAATCATACTGGCTAGACCTAATATAGATAGGGAGTCATATTGCATTTTACCTCATTGGATGCCAGTCCTTTTTACTTGTTCTAGCAAAATGGAGAACAGTTAACTTACACAGAAACACAGGTTAAAACAAGTTATATAATCCTGCCAACCTTCATTTTTTTACTAATCACCCATTGGCAGTGTTTTAAAAAGCAAATTTGCCTTGCTGGCGGGTTATGTGTCATCCAGATTAGTGTTAAGTCAGCAAACACGAGTTGAACACATTAGAAAGGAGACAAGGGACAGGTGGATAAGGAATATTGAGAGAACAATTTCTTTCACTTCTTAATCAACTTGTTGCCTCACTTTGGGAAGTGGCAAGTGGCTCACTGACATGACCCATTTACTTGGTCTCTCAGCGAAGCATGTCGGATGCCATGTAATCAAAACCAAAGTTGAGGGGGTTAAACAAACTGTTTTATAGTAAGTCTAATCTGGACTTCTGTACATTGGACTTTTCCATATAAAATGCAATCATTTTTATTCCTAGCCTGCGATTGATTTGATGACTTTAAAGGTTTCATAAATTGAACTTTACTTAACAGATCATATCAGTGGCAAACTGGCAGTGCTAGTGGTATGAGCTTTTCTACTTCTCGATACTGCTGCTTACACGTGACATCTTGTTTGTGTTTCATGATTGGCTTGACAGAAAACTAGTTTATCTTGAGGATCAGGAGAACGTTTGTAATGTTTCTAGTATCCGACATGGTAGGTGAATCAAAAGATTGTTAAAACTTCAAAACGCCTAGTGTCATATTTGATGCTTGCAGTAATTCTTTTGAGAAGTGATTTGGTGATTCTTGTATTACCATATAATTTTGTTTCAGCACATTGCATAATCATAGTGTCAGTTACATGCCTATTTCCACGCACTATTACATTGCTATGTTCACATACACAATTGCATCACCATCATTGTCCACTTGTTTTTGTATATGAAACAACTCACTTTCACAAAAATATGAAGGTGGTTCTGAGGAGGGAATCAGTAAGTTGTCCAACTTTTAACAACCTGAAGACTTTGTCCCTTGGTGAATGGTGTATCAGTAGGGGTGCTAATTTTGACATACTAGTTCGCTTACTTCAGCATACACCTTACTTGGGGAATCTCTTTCTCCAACTTGAAATGGTACGTACATGTATTTCTACAACTTTATTTAGCAAGATGTTCATTTTTTTTTACTTGAACCCTTCTTCTGTGCATGTACATCTATAGATTTACTGTCTCTCTGATCTTTCTGCCAGGTCTTCGTATGCTAAAGCTAAACAGGGAAATTAACATTGCCGAAATGCGTGCCTGTCGGTAGAAAACCTGGACCTTGTACGGTATGAGTTATTGCTAACTGTGTCCTTTTCACCTTGTACTCAGTTCAGCTATATTCGATAATTGCAACTTTGTTTTTGTAGGTACAAGCAAGGCACTTGGGCTGGGCCGCTGGAGGCTGGGAGGCAAGATAGCATGCTTTTTGCTCACCACGTCGACAGTTCCTGTAGGTATATGGCAGAGCCTTGCCTCGGTCAAATGTCATCCTGAGAACTTAGCAATTATGACTACCTGATGTTCATTTTTATCATGTAGTAGTTTTTTTTTCTCTGCTCTTCTATTGCGAATTTGCAATCATGGGTGACTTTTGGTGTTCTCTAGTTTTGTTCTGGAATGACAATGACATGGCATCCAGGACGAGTTTGGATGGTGTTTTAACAAATCTGGTGTTATACTTTTGGAACCGCTACAAATCAGACTACTGCTTCTTTAGCTTCCCATTGGGCTAGTTTTTCACTCTATGTGGATTCATCTGGAAAGTGCAGTGGGCCAGAGAAATCGGATATTCAATTCGGTGCCTGGGCTCATCTGCACCCGGTGAACAGTATTATTTTTAAAAAATAAAACAAATTCAAAAATTTCTGAATATTTTTTAGGCGGAAGATGTTCCAATGTGATGTTTGTACCAATTTTCAGCTTATTCGGACATCCGAGGAGCTCATGGCAAAAAAGATAATATTGGTCAAAACAGTATGTGAACAGTAAACTTTCTTCAGGCTCCCAAATTTGTCATTTTTGCTGAGAGCAACTTAAATATCCAAACTCCATGAAATTTGGCACGGATTTTATGCAAACGAGCATCTACCATCACACAAAATTTCGGATTTTTTTTACTATTTTAACTGAATTTACTGTTCACCCTCGGGTGCATAAGCAAAAACGCTGCTAGCAAATACTTTGACTTGACTCCAACAACTGATACGAAGCCAAAGTTATCCAAAGTTATCCAAAATTCACTCTCTAGCCAATCTTCCTATGACTCTCTGTGAGTCTGGGTATCTCCGAAGATTTTCTTCTAATACTACCGAGACACTTAGGGCTATTCATGCTTAGGGATCAAACCAGATTCAACTCTTTGGAACCACCATTCTTTCTTCTTTCTATTTTTTTTAGTTTCTTCAAAAATGTTTTACAAATTTTCAAAAATGTTTTACAAATTTTCAAAAATGTTCACTTTTTAAAAAAATGATTGTGTCTTCTAAAAAAATGTTCCCTTTAAGAAGCATTTACACTTAAAAATCATTTAAAAAAATATATTCACAACTTTTCTTAATGTCCGCACTTGTTTTTAAGGTGCTAACTTTTATTCAGAAAACATCCACCTTGTTCTCAAATTTTCAAAACATATTTACATTTAAAACATGTTTATGTAACTAAAAATATTCATGAAGTTTTTTTTTCAAATCACATGTTTATTTCATGAACTTTTAAAAAAAATAATGGAACCAAGAAAAACTGAGCGACCAAAAAATTGAGCGGACCAAGAAAATCCCTAAAGAACTCCTGCCTCCCGGTAAGAAGGAATGGCTGGACACGCCTAACGAGTGCTCAAAAAAATGCTGGACTCTATTTTTGGAACTTTGGATCTACCCATTCATCAAACATCATCATTGCAATACCAAAAAGCACGAGAAGCAACAAAAATTATATTCATGTCCGTAGGCCACCTAACGATGACTACAAGCACGAAAGTGAGCCGAAGGCGCGCCACCATCATCACCCCTCCCTCAACGGAGCCGGCAAAACTTCTTGTAGTAGACAGTCAAAAAGTTGTCGTGCTAAGGCCCTAAAAGACCAGCGCACCCGAAGAGTAACCGTTGTCGATAAAAAGAAGTGTGAATTGAAAGGACACATGAACGCAGACGAACGAATATTGAATGCAGGCAAATCCACCAAAGACAAACACTAACCGAATCCCGCAAGATCCATTGGTGACACACCTCTACACGTCCTTCATTGACGCGAGACGCACCTCTAGGACGGGACTAGGCAGGGAGAATCGTCACATCTTCACCGTGTGGATGAACCTTTTGTTTCTTTTATTTTTATTTTTTCATCGGGTCACTTTAGATTATTTTTTTTTACATTCTTCCTGTTACATACCAAGCTCCGTTCTTTTCCATTTTTTCCATCTTTTCTTCTTCTTTTCCATCAGAGCTGTTTCTGTCTGTTGTGTGGTGCTCAACTCAAGCAAGTATTGGAGTCTATGTTTCAGAGCTGTTCATGTCTATTTAGCTTTTTTTAGTACTAATACCTTTATGGAGTAACTGCCGAACTATTTCTCTTTATGTGTAGCCATGCCATGCTACTAACCTTACAATTTTTTACATGTACTATTTGCTCTTTTTTTTTTGAGAAATATGTATTTGCTCAGCTGTAAACCTGTGTTGGCCTACTTTGAACTGTTACCTGTTTTTATTTTTATTTTTGAGGGGAACCGTTACCTGTTGGTCCTGTTTGTAAGTCAAAAGTGAATGAACGGATCAAAACCTCTTCTTTATTCCATCGATGATCAGTACATATATATACAACCAGAACGGACGCAAAGAAGGGACGCGTCCGATCGTGGGGATGCGACTAACGGTCGCAACGGTTAACATCTGCACGTTGCAGCACAGAGAGGATTATCCCTTTAATTATAAATTAATTAAATCCTAACACTCCCCCTAATCCTCGCTTGTCTTTATGACTGATCATACTTGAAATCATCTCTTCCAAAAATCCTGTGGGAAAGAATATGAGAAGATACACGTAATATGCCATGAAAAACTCCTCCAAAAACCCTGTGGGAAAACAAGGAGAAAATGACATATCACCATGCTTGTATTACTATTGCCTCGTTAAAAACCTCTCATGAGAAACCATTCAGGAAAAACTCATAAAGGAAAAGAGTGCAATACAAAAGATCTGAAGATCTCGAACAGGTTATCGTTCAGGAGTGCACTCCCCCTGAACCTTGCAAATAACAAAGTCATCTCATACCAATTCTATTAACTTATTTATGGAATGAAGAACTTGGTAAAGACTTCGTGAATAAATCACCAAAATTATCGCATGACTTCATTCGCAAGATATTTATCTTCCACCTTTTTTCAACTCATGGGAAATAAAATACTTTAGAGCCATATACATTCTAGTGTTGCTCTTTATAACCTGTCTGCATCAGCATAATACAAACAAAACATTATCTTCATAGATAATGGTGGGTAGTTCCTACCAACCAATCCACTTGAACTTTCAAGAAAGTTCATCATTCCGTGAAGTCACATACATTCATGTGATGGTTCATGCAAATCAACGATTTCAGAATGACTAGTGGATGCAGCCGCTAAAATATGTCTTCTCGACTTCCCAGAGAAGGTCACACCTTCATTCGACCAGTCTGTGATCTAGGATTATGGGGATTTAATATATACCCAGCATCACAATATCCAACCATGGTCATATCTTGATTTTTTTTTCTCATAGAACAAACCAAGATCTATGGTGTCCAGAAGATATCTAAAAATATTCTTCACACCAACCCAACACCTTTTAATAACTGATGCATTATAGCTAGCTAATTACTGCTAATGAAATACCAGGCCTGGTGCAGTTTCTAGATACACGCGTGCTCTCATTGCACCGCGATATGGAAACTCAAGTCCAAATATCTCTTCATCACTGCCATTAGGCCTTAATGGGTCCTTATCTCTAGTAAGTCAGAGATCTCAAAACCATAGGTCACAATACATGTTGCGAATAAATTCAGAATCTTCATTCCATCAGGAATTATCATAGAGATATATGAATCAAGTGACTCATGCAACTATGCAGTCACAAGATCCATCAGGTTGATAAACAAATTCATTATTCGCTGCCAGTGATATTAAATATCGAAACGTTATTCCACTCACAACAGGAGAACATGTTTCATCTTAAACGATGAAGGGTCTCTGCGTGAACCCATGTGCTACAAGACTCGCTTCATCTCTCACCACCTCTTGGTTTTCATTTCTCATGAACAAAAAAAACATTTGCTCCCCCGGGGTACAAATCCAGACGAGTGGGTATTACTGATCAGGTCAATACCCCCTCTTCTTGAGAGCGAGCACATCCTCAATTGCTGCCTTCCTTTGGATCAACTAGAGCATTTTAGACACTCAGCCATGCATGGAATTTGGTTCTAGATCCAATCCAAGGTCTTTTGCAATTCATGAGGATAAATAAATGTCGACATAATGTAGTCTTTATTATATGATTCTCCCGAATCCATATCCATAGTGGAGATTTCATCATTACCTTTGACTCTTTGTGATTTCCCACAATAGTTGAGTCAAGGTCTTTTGATGTCCCAGCACAAAAATTTGTGTGCACACTCGTGTTGGGTCCTGGATGTGTCCAACATCCTTCAGGTGTCTTTCAACCCTTGGTTGAATATCAACATGAATTTGACCTGCATTTACTGTCTGAGGATTCCTCATTCCCCTTGGACGCTTCCATGAAGCCTTGTCCTCTTGTGTCTAGATCCCCCCCCCCCCTCTTCGGTGGCCGAGTGGACCTATGGGTCACATCCACTCTTTCTGACACATTCACTATGGGAATATTTTACTTTATGACACCTATATACTTAGTAAATACAACTGGCATATTATTTGCGATACTTTGCAAATTGATAATCTTCTGAACCACACGTTCAGACTCATTCGTACGTGGACCTCAGGACTAGATGCCTATTCACATCTCAATCTATTTTCTGGCATTCAATGTGGTCCATATCTCTCCCTAATGCTGGAAAATGTCCTGATCAAAATACAATCAGCGTACCGGGCCATAAACAAGTCCCCTTCTTAGGACTATAGGTACTTTATGATTGACGGAGAATTATACCTCACATAGATCCCCAATTTCTATGAGGGCCCATATATGTATGCTGCGGTGGTGAAATTGGTATGTA